TCTTCATTTTTCTATTTTCAGTTTTTCGATTTGAGTTTTCAACTTTTCGGCTTTTCGACTCCATTATTCAGATTTTCGATTCTTCTTTTTTAGATTTTTCGATTTTTCAATGTTTCTTTTCTTTGTTTCGATTTCTCAATTTTTCGAGTTCTCGATATTTCAGTTTCGAAATTTTTCAATTTTTCAGTTTTTTTAGTATTAGATTTTTCGATTTCTCGATCTTTTTAGGTTTCGATTTCTCGATCTTTTTAGGTTTCGATTTCTATATTTTTCGATTTTTCAAATCTTCGATTTCTTGATGTTTCGGTTTTTCCATCCTGCAATTTTTCGATTACGAGTTTCTTGATTTTTCGAATTTTGAATTTTCCAAGAATTCGTTTCTTCACTTTTTTAATTATCAGTTTCCACTCTTCAGTTTTTCAATTTCTCACTTTTTCGACTTTTTTACTTTCCAGTTTTTCTCGAAGATTCCTTACCTGGTTTTTGAAGTAATTTGAAAGAATCTGGAGGACCCCTCGTGTTTCGTTTTTAAAGTAGTTTGAAATCTCGAGGATTTCTTGTCTGGTTTTTGAGGTAATTGTAAAGAATCTCGAGGACCCTTTGTGTTTTGTTTTTGAAGTAATTTAAAAGAATTTCGGGTATCCTTGGTGTTTGGTTTTTGAAGTAGTTTGAAAGAATCTCCAGGACCACTTTTGTTTTGTTTTTGAAGTGGTTTGAAATAATCTCGGGGACTCCCTGTAGGAATTATTTTTGAAGTAATTTGAAAGAATATTGAGAAGATCTTGCGTTTTGTTTTTGAAGTAGTCTGAAAACATCTCGGGGATTCCTTGCCTTGTTTTTTAAGTATGTTGAAAACATTTCGAGGACTGCTTTGTTTTTGAAGTAATTTGAAAGAACCTCGGGGTCACTTTGTGCGTTTTGTTTTTGAAGTGAATTTCGAGGGTCCTTCGTCTTGTTTTAAAGTAATTTGAAAGAATCTCGGGGACCATTTGTGTTTTATTTTTGAAGTTGACTGAAAGAATCTCGGGGAGCATTTGTGTTTCATTTCTAAAGTATTTTGAAAGAAAATTGTTCAGGTTTTCGATTTTTGGGCATTTCGATGCCTCCATTTTTCAGATTTTAAATTCTTCAATTTTTCTATTTTCACTTCGAGTTTTAAACTTTTCGGCTTTAAGCATTTTCGATTCTTCTTTTTTAGATTTTTCGATATTTTAATTTTTGGATTTTTCAATCGTTCTTTGTTTCGATTTCTCAATTTTTGAAATTATCGATTTTCCAATTTTTCGAGTTCTCGATATTTCAGCTTTGGAACTTTTTCATTTTTCAGTTTTAAATTTTTCGATTCGTCGATCTTTTTAGGTGTCGATTTCTATATTTTTTGATTGTTTAGGTTTTCGATTTTTCAATTTTTCGATTTTTTGATGTTTCGGCTTCTCCATCCTCCAATTTTTCGATCATGACTTTCTTGCTTTTTCGAATTTTAAATTTTCCAATAATTCATTCACTTTTTCAATTATCAATTTCCACTCTTCAATTTTTCGATTTTCCACTTTTTCGAATTTTCTGTTTTCCAGTTTTTCTCGAGGATTCTTTATCCTGTTTTTGAAATAATTTGAAAGAATCTCGAGGACCCCTCGTGTTTTCTCTTTAAAGTAGTTTAAAAGGATCTCGAGGATTCGTTGTCTGGTTTATGAAGTAATTTGAAAGAATCTCGAGGATCCCTTGTGTTTTGTTATTTGAAGTAATTTAAACGAATATCTAAGATCCTTTGTGTTTGGTTTTTGAAGTAGTTTGAAAGAATTTCTGGGATTCCTTTTGTTTTGTTTTTGAAGTTGCCTGAAAGAACCTCGGGAACCATTTGTGTTTCATTTCTAAAGTATTTTGAAAGACAATTTTTCTGGTTTTCGATTTTTTGATGTTTCTATTACTCGATTTTTCAGTTTTACGATTTTTCGGCTTTTCGATGGGTCCATTTTTCAAATTTTAAATTCTTTAATTTTTCTATTTTCAGTTTTTTGATTTGAATTTTCAATTTTTCGATATTTTAATTTTTGGATTTTTCAATTGTTCTTTGTTTCGATTTCTCAATTTTTCGAGTTCTCTATATTTCAGCTTTGGAATTTTTCAATTTTTCAGTTTTTTTAGTATTATATTTTTCGATTTCTATATTTTTCGATTGTTTAGGTTTTCGATTTTTCAATTTTTCGATTTTTTGATATTTCGGTTTCTCTATCCTCCAATTTTTCGATTACGAGTTTCTTGGTTTTTCGAATTTTGAATTTTCCAATAATTCACTGCTTCACTTTTTCAATTATCAATTTCCACTCTTCAGTTTTTCGACTTTTCTATTTTCCAGTTTTTCTCGAGGATTCCTTATCTTGTTTTTGAAGTAATTTGAAAGAATCTCGAGGACTCTTTGTGTTTGGCTTTTGAAGTAGTTTGAAAGAATCTCCGGGATCACTTTTGTTTTGTTTTTGAAGTGGTTTGAAAGAATTTCGGAGACTACTTGGAGGAATTATGTTTGAAGTAATTTAAAAGAATATCGTGGACATCTTGCGTTTTGTTTTTGAAGTAGTCTGAAAACATCTCGGGAATTCCTTGCCTTGTTTTTGAAGCATTTTGTACAATTTTGAGGACTCCTTGTGGTCTGTTTTTTAAGTACATAATTCGAAAGAACCTCGGGCTCACTCTGTGAATTTTGTTTTTGAAGTAATTTAAAAGAATCTCGGGTCCCCTTGTATTTTGTATTTGAAGTTGCCTGAAAGAATCTCGGGGACCATTTCTGTTTCAGTTCTAGAGTATTTTGAAAGAAAATTTTTCAGGTTTTCGATTTTTCAATTTTTCGATTTATCGATTTTTTGACTTTCCACTTTTACGATTGTTCGACTTTTCGATTTGAGTTTTCAACGTTTCGGCTTTTCGACTTCACGATTTTTCGATTATTCAGATTTTCGATTCTTCAGTTTCTCGATTTTCTTTTTTTACATTTTTCGATATTTTAATTTTTGGATTTTTCAATCTTTTTTGTTCCGATTTCTTTATTTTTTGAAATTTTAAACAAACGACTAGAGCGCTTAAACCTCAATTTAAATATTGTCATTCATGTCATTGTAAGTTTCACGCGATGAAATGTAAACGATTTTTTTGTTTTTTTGTCTGAGACACTTGTGAATTATTGTCTAGCGAGACAAAAACTCGTTCTTGATCTTCTCAAATATTCAACATATAGGCTAGCAACGAGAAAATTTATGGTATTTAAGATCCAAATATATATCATTCCTATTCCACGTACCTACTTCTCCAATCTCTCATATACTTACTTTAGTGAAGGTAGGGATGCAAAACGTTTACCAAGCACACACTTTTACATTCATTTGAGATTATGAAACAATTAATGGAATTCATGAATGGAATTAATTGTTGATGAGCTAGAAGAAGGTTTTGATTACGTTGTCTCTGATTCAGAAGAAATCCTTGACCCTCCTTTTAATCTTATAGAATAAATGTTTTTTCATTATTATCTTACTTATGTAGAATTCTCATTGAACACAAACTAAGATCAGTTGCCATAACCTATGATGATAATAATAATGACAGAGATGCTATGCTGATACATTCCATGTGAAAAATATATTTCTATAACTCCTTAGGTACTCCGACTTTTGAAAATTTTACACTGATGCTTGTTCTTTATGTTTCGTGAATAGATAATAATTATTCTCTTACTGGTTTAATCATTTTCTTGCGGTTTGAATTTGAACATTTATCTCCGAAGGAAGCCAAGCGTTTCCGAGATTAGCTTGTTGTGATTTTGATGGTATTGAAAATTGTTTTTTTTTATTTGTATGTGATGTGGGGACTTTGCTTTAATTAATGATTTGAAATAACACATGATTTAACATCGTGTAACTCCTTTGTTGTTTGAAATTCTTGGTTCAGTGTGATGCAATTAATTTGAGTACGTAATCTTAACACACTAATTTAGTCACTGTTATAAATTCGAGTGAGATAGAATTTGAACTTAATGGAAATGAAAGGGCACAAGTTGGCGTGACCAAAGCAGAACACACGGTTTGTAGTTAAAGTCTGCGGCTTTGTCAATGCCCACAAAGATGTTGAAATTGAAACGCAGCTTGGTTTAATAGCTGGCTGGTTCGCGAAGACCGGGTAAAGAGTATAATATGCGGCAGGTTTTTTGGGCACAGAAATCTGGAGTGTGTTATACTACAGAGTGAAATTATTACCGCCAAAGGGTGGCAGACTATGACTAGGGACTTTCCGCTACTGTTACAACGAACTTTGAAACATTGTAAAATGAGTTTTTCACACTTACCTTTTACTGCTGTAGTTACAGGCATGACTAACGTGTTATATCTATTTTTTGGACAAAAATTAAACGTATACATCAACTTACTTGTCGTTTCCTTATTTTATCAAACAATTTATTATAATCTAAAAATAACATAAATAAGAATATGAAGTGACAGGCGACGAGTGGTCATTCATCATCATAGCGAGGCGGCAAACTTCAGGAAATTTCAAAGCCAACTTGATGTACAGTTTTTAATAATCAGCCTGTACATTGGGTAGTATAAGAACAAAATTGAATACATCGTTAATTCGTTAACAATTAAAAGTGATTTAAATAATTTAAATACCTGCAAATATCATTGGCAATTCAATTTAGAATTCCGACTAAAAGAGTTGCAATATATTGCGACTACTGTCGATACACAAACTTTTATTGACCGTTTGGAATATTTAAACCCTACAGTCGTTCCATTTAAGCACATTGGTAAAAGATAAATCTATTTCAGGCATTTGTAATTATGTAATTACTGCTAAGTTAACAACTAACACACAGTTAACACCAGGTGGGAAGTTTGTGCGACATCATAGACACACTTACCGCAACACTGTATTCTACTAATACGCGCAAAGCCACTATTCCACGCAAAATGCTTTAATAAGCGCAAAGGATAATTTAAATAAGTAACCCGTTCTCTGTGCAAAACTTTATTCATTTACATGTGACTGAAATCACTGAGATACTTCCTAATATTAAACCCGACCATCTTCGCAACCATCTGAATAAAATCGAAGTTGACGTTACATTTGTATTTGGCTCCATCCAAAGTCGATCCGTCCGACAAACTCGAAAGTAATTGCAATTCAACCAAGCTCGACACTTGAACGAGGAGATTATTGTTGAACCCAACCTTGTCGTCGACAATGGAATAAAAAATCGCCAACAATCTATCAAAACTGAAAGGTTTGGGCCCGAGCAACGTATTCAATTGTTCCGTGACTTTATTCTTCCTCTTGACGTCCCTCATAGTTTTCGTCTTCCGGCCGTGATATTTCATGAAAAGTCTCTTATCGTCTTTCGCCGGATTATAACTGGCCAAATAGGCGGCAATGAGTAGATACTTGGCATAGAAAGGCAACTCGAGATTCTGCGCGAGATTATCCGGGAGCTGGGGCGAGGAAACCCGCAAGTAGAGATTCTGAAGGGCTTGTTTGAGAAATGGGGCGACTTTCCGCCACAGCGCCATGGAGTCCTCGACGGTGTTTTCGTTCCTGAGGATCGGCTGGCAGTAGTTGAGGAAGTTCGTTCGAGCGACGTACCGCAGCTCCGATAAGTCTCTGCAGTGGCGATAAAAAACTGAAAGGAACGCGTTCAGGTAATTTTGATAAAAGTTTGAATCGAAGTGGAAGGCGTTCGTCACGGCGGTGCGAGCATAATCGATGTCTGACGAAAGGATCTCCAGCAGCTCGTCCTTGCTGTACTGCGGGAAGTGGATCTGGATCGGCTCCACGACGCTGCTCCGCGAGTAGAACTTCTGGAGGATGATTTGCGAGAGGAAGACGACGCTTACGGGAATCCCCCCGGTGAGCTCCTTCAGCTTGAGGAAGCCCGGGAATAAGTTGAAATCCATAGTTCGCAGCTTCTCCGCTTTGTCGATAATTAGCACCGATTCAACTAGTGCGGCTCGGTTCCTTCGTAAATTATCGACGAAATCCATCATGTTGTCGCATCTGGAATCGCCAAGCCCGACCAGTTTATTCAAGATGGTTTCAAAGAGGATTTTCGTGGTGTAGCATTCGATCAAGTTGATAACGGCGTATTTCACGCCCAGTTCATGCAGAACCGTCCGGACCACAATGGATTTACCCACACTCGGACCTCCGCTAATGTAAACGCTATCGGGAAAAGGCTCCCCTTTGTGTCCATACAGATTATAAAGTTGGCCGATCTGGGCGGAGCGACACGGCAGGCTGGCCTCCAGCTTAGATAAGGTCGTCATGAGTGCAATTAGCCTGAAACGAGGAGAACCATACGTGAACTTGCGTTTTTACATTTTCGGGAACGGAACTTCAAAGGAGTTAAAAGGCCAGGAGGTCGGTTTTTCTGTTAGCGGAGGACGGTCGGGGCGGACTTTTACAAGCTTCAGGAAGGATGGCGATTTTTAAGACTTCTAAATTTATTTGGATTTCTCGGTGTTTGCGATCTGGGTAAAGTTCGAATTACACCGATCGCACACAACCGCTAGACAGGTCATAAATCAGTCGCAGTTGTAACATTCCTTTTACAAGATTCCAATGTTTTCTTGTTTTGTAGAAAAGAATCCATGTTCTAAAATCCTGTTACTAGGTCGTCAACAAATAATAAAAAAAATTCAAAAAAGAACTGTTGACGTGTTTATTATATGAGTGATCAAAGATTCAAGAATATTTCTCTTCATCCAGTTACAATACACTATTTCCCAACACTCATAATGATATTGGACTCGTAATTTAAAGTATCAGAAATTCAAACTTCTGAATTCTTTGAAAACAATTTCACGATTACCCGTAGTTCAGGGTTGCAACTGTTCAGACTTGCAAATAATTACGGGAGTAATGTATTACGTAACTCAAACAAATAATTTCCATTTATGACATTTCATAAACTATCTGGAAGGACCAACAGGATTTGTATCATAGTTTCTGGAATCACTAATAGTAGGATTACGGCAAAAGTTTATTTGTTTCGCAGAATCTGGAATGAATTTAATATGATTTCGTGTGCAAACAATGGAAGTGTTTTATACTGTCCGACATAATTTCAGACTGGCTTAATAGATTCCGACAAAATCTATTAAGCTATCTAAAAATTTATTTTCTTATTTAGTAAATACACTGTTCTTCATGGATGCACAAAACACTACCCCTCCCCAAAAATGGAATTAATTTAATGGTACTTGATGCAAGAATTAGGTTTTAGAAGAAAAAAAGGCGAGAATCTGCAATTAAATTTAAAATTTATGTTTTACAGATTCCAGAAAATTGTGAATTTTCCAAGATTTTTTTGAAGAATTTTGTGTGGCGACTTGAATACAACTACACAATACAATTTAAATTTTTTTGTATTGTAAGCACACTATTTTCACTTCTCGAGCGGAAGTTAAGTATATTGCAATAGGGTTTAGTGGACGAATGGCGATTTTCATGTTTTCTCGACGTTTCATGCTCCCGAGAGGACAAAACATCCGTTTCTGTCTGTCTGTTTGTCTGTCTGCCGTTTGTCTTCCGAAAATGAATACAAATACAATATTTAATAATTACAAAATACTTTTACAACAAAATATTATTTTAAGTATCTTTCGGCAAAAGTTACTCCATTTTGGGTAACTTATTTCAAAACTAAATCTGCTTACTACAAAAATGAATACAGAATGCCCTAAAATAACCGTTAACCGAAGATATTGAATTTTATTTTTATTATGTTATCAGAAGATTGACACATACAGCTTTTGAGTTACTTGTCCGGATCAACGGTCTTGAAAATCGGATATCGTTGATTATTATAGCCTGAAATCTAATCATACACGTCTGATTCATAGCACCTTTGTTTGTTTAAAGCAATAAATCGTAGAGGTGTCAAGGAAGTAAATCACATTTACCTATGCTTTGAGATATTTGTATAAATTTTACGTAAAAATAGAACTACAAAAGTTGTGATATTAGAATCCAGACTAAAGAATACGTTTCAGCCTTATTTTAAAAACGTGTTTCAAAATTTTTGACATATTACGATAGCTGTCGTTTTTGTACAATTTTTGCTTTCAAATTTTTACCATTATGGACGAATAATTGACAGAAGAAATCTGTTTTGTTCGCAAAAAATTTAATGGTTTTTCCCGAAATTCCTAAAGTCAAATTCTTTTGAATATTTTTTTCAAGAAGTAAAAAATTAATGCAACTCGACAGGTTTTTTACTTTCTGTGAATCTACTTGGAAACCCCTAAAGTGCGAGCGTAGCGAGAATATTCAAGGTATTCAGGTCTACAGATATTAGTTATCACAATCTTTAAATTCATATTTTTAAATAACAAAGTTTACCTTCTCAAGGCCTTTAATGTTTATTAGACTTAAAAAAATACACCCTTAGAATACGAGCGCAGCGAGCACACTTAATACATACTTAGAATCTCTCCAGCACGGAATTTTTTTATATAAGGTCAAGGTATTTAAAAAATTCACGAATAACTTAACCTTGTTGATTAATTTTTGATACAAATTATCACCAAAGAAATCTGACCTGACCGAACCTGACAAGCATCAGGTCACCGTTCTGAGTGTGAGGGAAGTACTGTACAATTTTTTTGACCGATTTTTTCTTATTATTAAAAATATGAATGCAATGATAAATCATAAGTACAGACCCATATTTTGCACATTTTTGGTAGAATTTATCCAACAAAATTTTAAGATGACTTCATCAATTTTTTGGGGGAAATAAACAGATATATTTTGATTAACACTTTTTCTTGTCTATGCTTACAATAACTTCAAAACGTCTACAAGGCTTCAAAGTATTCAGTTTTGCACTTTTTGAATAATCAATAAAATAAATTGACTCAGTCATTAATTATTTTTGAGACACCCTGTATTAGTAAATTTAAAAAATGTTAATGCAGTGATAAATCACAAGTACAGACTCATCATATTTTGCTCATTTAAGATAGGATTTATTCAGCAATATTTTGAGGCGACGTCATCAATTTTTTAGGGGGGATAAGAAAATATATTATGATAACTTTAAAACATGTCGAAGAGTTCAAAGCATGCGATTTTGCAGTTCCTGATTAATCATTAAAATAAATTCTCGTATTCATTAATTTTTTTAAGTCACCCTGTATAAAGAAATCAAAAAAATATGAATCGAATGAATAAGTTTAACTTTTTCTAGTAACTACTTTTAATATTGTTTAGTCTTATCATAGCAAGTACTAGCCCCGCCCACCCGCCCATGCTCTTCTTATTCTAAACAGGATTTTATTTCTGTTCAGTATGGGATGTACTTTCATTCAGGGCAGATAAAATGTATCACTGAAATGGAGGCGGGGTGGGTGGGCGGTTTTAGTTTTATGTTCTTCTCTGGAATAGGAGTGGGGCTGTTAAAAAAGAAAAAAAGGTTAACCGTTTTTTTTTGTTATATCATTTATTTTAAGATTTATTTCTTATTTTAGAAGAAAAAATGAGAACGGGTGGGTGGACGAGACCAAGTTTAATTTTTTTCTGCAAAGTCTTTTATAAGCAAGTAATAGACCCGCCCATCCGCTTCTTACTTAGCAAGTAATTACTACTTCTTCTTCTATGGACTAGTTTTATTTCTGCTCAGTACAGGATCCACTTTTATTCAGAGCAGATATAATTTACTGAAATGGAGACGGGGTGGGTGGTCGGGATTAAATATATGTTCTGTAGAATCGAAGTGGGGCTGTTAAAAAAGAAAACAAGGGCTAACAGTATTTTTTTGGTATCATATTTACTGTAAGAGCTATTTCTTATTTTAGAAGGAAAAATAGGAAACGGGTGAGTCCATCCGCGTCCTCTTCATTCTAGTAACTATTCTTAATATTGTTCAGTCTTATCTTAGTAAGTACTAGCCCCGCCCACCCACCCCCTATTTTCTTTGCCAAAATCAGTGTTATCTTAGAAATTCCAATCACAAGTATAGACTCATCATATTTTGAATATTTTGGATACAATTTATTCGGCAAAGTTTTGAGCTGACGGCATACATTTTCTGGAGAGAATAAGATTCTCGAAACTCGATAAGGCCTTGCAAGCATCTGCAAATCCAAAACCATAGCAACATGTATTGTTGTTGCATTGTATTTGCAGTTTCGATAGCGATTTGCAAATTATCGGAATTTCCAGAATCTCCCCCTAAGCAAATATATTTTGATTAAAAATTTATTATGCCCATCGTAACTTTAAAACATCTGAAAGATTTCAAAACATTCGGTTTTGCAGATTCAAAATTAAATTGCAAAATGTTGTTTCATAATTTTCATTTTTTTTTTCAAAAATCTAGACGTTTCCAGGAAAAACTCAACATGCAGTCATAAACTACATGCGTAGGTCTATGTTTATGCTAAATTTTGGTTAGCGTTTTACCATCTACATGATATTCCTAATATGTCAATCTTTAACAGACTTTTCGACTTGTCATTCTCAATAAAACAAATTAAGTGCACATCTAAAGAACAAAAAAAAAGTGGATTACACCGGAAGTTCGTAACTTAAAAAAGACTGTTTCCCTATATGCAGATCTTAGTAAACACTTTCCCATTTTTAAAGATCAATTCAAAAAAATAAATAAAGAATATCAAGAGGTGTTAATAAAATCAAAGCAAAATTACAACGAACACAGGTTACTCACATCTTCTAACAAAAACAAAACAATGTGGGAGATTATTAGAGAATCTTCAAATAAAGTAAAAACAAGGGGTGAAATACGAATCTCTGAAAATGGACATGTCTTAACTGATCTAGCTTGTGCTAATCTTTTCAATAAAAATTTCTCAGAATTGGCTCTAAATATAATTGACGATAACACAGTAAATAACTCCGATTTTCTACTTAATAACATTGATTTATCGCCCTATAGTTTAAATTTTTTACCAGTCACAGGTTCTGACATTCTTCAGATCATACACAAACTGAAGAATTCTAAATCTGCTGGACATGACGAAATACCTAATAGCGTCTTTAAAAAAGTGGGAAAAACTATTTGCGAACCTATAGCACACATTATCAATTTGTCGTTATTAAATGGTCATTTTCCCAACTCCCTAAAAAAGGCTATAGTAGTTCCATTGCATAAAAAAGGTGACCACCAACTAATCACATTAACAATGGTATTACATCTTTTCTGACAACACATCAGTTAATAGATCCTTCGCAGCATGGTTTCACAAAGGGAAAAAATTTAGACACAGCATTGGCAGCTTATCTTTCTATAATCTCTACTTGTATAGACAAAAACA